GGGAAAAATACACTATACCAGTGCTTCTCAACCAGGATGCTACAGCACCCTCGGGTGCGCTTTTTGTGATCCTTTCAAGACTGCCATGCAATGTTCGTACTGTTAGGTGTGCAAACATGATATACAAGATAAACTCAGAGATTTCAAACAGGAATTCATAGCATTAAAATAGTCTGACCTGCTGTGATCTCTCCGAGTTCTTTGCAAGAAAAGAATTGCTCTATTCTTCTGTAGCCAAAAACCAAGCAAAAAACTAATAGCTAGCATTTTCAGAGGGGTGCCTTGAATATAAAAAGGTTGAGAACAACTTCCCTACGTGCTTCTCAGTCAGTACGAGCCACCATGGCAAAGCAGCACAAAATATTGCGCTGGCATATAATACATCCCCATCATGGTCTGGGGCACCATTACTTGGGGACCCCCAGCAGCAGTGTAAAATTGGCTTTTAGTAAGGTAAAACCACCTCTCCTTTTAAGAAGAAATACTACATTGTTCACCCTCCCAACTTAGAGACTTGTATGAGCTTGCTTCTTCACAGGTGTGATGTTAACATTGACACAAATGGAAGTGGAATAGCAAAGGGGATTTTTTGGTTAAAAAAAAGGCAACTGTTAAAGGAACACGATCAAGAGACATTCTTCCACCCAAACAATACCAGGATTTTGCAATGCTTGCTTGGCTTATATAAATGTCTAGCTGCTTAGAGAGCTCTGAATAATGTCAAGTCTGAGGGTCACACTTTATAACCCTCTGCACTGTGTAAGACAGAGAGACCCACACCAGCACCTAGGACTCATATGCCTCAAAACATCGGGACAAGTCTGGATCCAGATGCAGACTTTTCAACAAGACTCTTATCTTTATAACAACCGCAGCAATGACGTAAGGTTAAGTGCAGCTGCCTAGAGAGACAACAGGTGATGGACTGTGCAAGTATGCAAAGAAGTGAAAAACAGATCCTGCCAACAATAAAGCAAGTGGAAGTTTAAAACCAAGGGCATTTTTCAGCCAGTGATAACCCTGGACCACACCACTACTTCCTGCTTTCCCACCGCCTGACCCTCTCAGCATCTTGGAGAAGGCATCTTTGTCCCCATCCAGGATCTGCCAAAGAAAACGTGATAAGCACGCACACTTCAGTGCGGTAATTGCAGGACAAGTGGCCCCTCCAGCGCAATCAGGATGCTAGAAGAGTCTGTTAACCCTGCTGTGTTACAACAGAGTGATCAGGAGCTCAGCCACGTGAGGGTAGCGCTCCCTACTGACCTCGGCCACCTCATCATACTGGCTTCTTTACGCACAAGAAAATGGATGCTGTCTAGTCAAGCCATAAGTGGCCTGCGGGCTCATGTTCTCCAGGTGGAGGAAGGAAGGAGGCTGCCTCTCACTGGCCCAAAGTAACCCAGAAAAACAAAAGCGATTAAAAGGAGAAATGAGATGCATGCAGGAAAAGCAGCTCTTAAAGCTTTGATGCCAGCTAAACATACCAACATCTACCCCACACTGCCACAGCCCCCGGCCTTCATAGCCAAAGGGTAAAACTTGAAAGCTGTAACTCTTATTTAGTGCCTCAAAGGCAAATAAAAATCCTGAAAAACTCTTGTTTTTTCTTCTGATGCAGGGGGAGGGAATCAACTGATTGCTCTCATATACCTGGCATTGGCCACTATCATTAACGTTTCATTAAACATACCACCATGGCAGTTGCATCAGTGCCCTTCTATTTTCTCCATCCATAATCCAGTTCTTATACCTCCTTGTTTATCTGGTTAGGAATCAGCTGTGATCTTGGATTAACACACTTGCGTATGGGCAGAATGCGACAAGCCTACAGGGCAAAACTGATCTCTGTGGTCAATGGAGTTTGCACAGGGGCACCTGTTCTGAGGCCCTCTAAATTCACGTAGTAAACGCCAGCAAGCAAATGTATGGGCACTTGCAGCATCCTGTCTGTGTGAGCATTAGATAATTACAGCAGCAACATGATCTATCAAGGAAATAAACCTTGTACAAGAAAAAAGAGAAAGAAAAGGCTGTAAAAAAATATTTTTACCTCGATAGAATGTATTTCATCTTCTCCAGTAATGAAACGGAAAATTTTCTGGGCAAAATAATAGAGTTCGTTGTTCACTGAGCAGGTTTCTAGAGTACAAGTTTTTCACCAATCTTCTTTTAAATTGTTTTTCAGAGGTATAATAAGAAATGTTGCCCGATAAAACTTTATTTCCCAGAAAAATGACAAAAAGCGCCCAGTTCAGAGGAGCACTAAAGCACATACTTAAAAATCTACTGGCTTCAGCAGATGCTATTATATCCCACTCAAGTCAACAGAACTTAAGTGTGTAATAAAGGTGCTGTGCTGAACCAGAGCTTAGGACTCATGAGCCCCTCATTTCAACCAGAAGAGATTAAAACTTCCAATAAAAGAATTGGCACAAATTGCCTAATAAACCTTATGGCATACTCCGCTCTCTTCCTTGCATTATCTGAATAAATATAATGTGTATGAAGAAGAAGAAGAATAGAGCTGGATTAAACCAGACATAGTTTAGTTGGGTGCTTTCTTTAGCTAGCCCCACTTCTCTGACAACGTACCTGACACCTGATCTGCAAAACCTCGAAGCGCAGAAATTTGTGGGCAAAAAACCTAATTATTTCTTACCCATTTTCTTTTGGAAAAATGTACGTATTGTAGGCCTTGGGTATCTCGACCCCCAACTCCTGAGTCAGCCCAGGCACAGAGACCATTGCAACGGGAACTCTGCATGATTAGGTCTTGAAAACCATTGTCCCCACTAGGAACCCACACACTCCTATTTCAGGAGAGTGAGTTCTTCTACCTCGAGTTCAGGAATATAAAGCAAAAAATATCAAAAAGGATTCAAAGAAGAGGAGGAGATAAAACAAGTGGGACAACAGGAATGAGAGCAAAGTGGAGTTGCTTTCATTCAATAGCTCAGTGGTTCTCAACCTTTTTCAGCCTGAGGTACCCCTCAGCGAGCTAAATGCACCCCTCGGAAAATGCCAACTCTTAGTTTTTGAATGCGTAAATTAATACAGCAATTCTTCTGTTGCAAAAAAATTCCAGAATTCTATGGATTCCTATTTGAAATGTCTGGGTTTGTCTTGTGAACCATGCTTGCACACCTAACGCTGCTAACGTGTAGCACCCCACAGCACCCTTGAAAGGATCTCCAGGCACACCCCAGGGAATCATGACGATAACCTAATCTGAGGTATTTCCAATCATGGGACTCATCGCCAGAGCAGACAGAGAAGAGTAACAGAGTGTATGTACCTTGCGGGTTGTGCCCATTGCATCAAAGTACACAAAACAGAGAGCGGATCTTGGGATGCAACTCTGAGCGGCTGCCTTTGAACAGAACGAGAGAGGAGCCTAGGGAGGGACCTCAACTGCAGACCAAGCCCAAACATAAATATCACTGCACAAAAGCAATTTATATTTTGAACAGAAAGAAACGCACCTCCAGCGATTACAGAAGAAAGATCTGTGCATCTTGCATAGCGAAAAGCGGCTCTTCTTACCCAAAGGCCAGGGTTACTGAGGGGAGGATGCTTCATAATTTAACCTGCATGTTCAGGTTAAGGTTTGAGGTTGTTTTAAATGAGTTTTAAAATGTACTTCACTTTCTTGTTCAGATGAGATTCACTTTCCCTGCGTCTTCCCCCACAACTCTCCAAATGTGTTGAATTTTGCATGTTAGCTCAATAATCCATGTTGCCGTGGCTCAAGGGAGTTAAGCAGCAGGTTCCAACTATCTAATTGAGATGGGTGCTGCTCTCACAGAAGTCAATGGAGTTTGGCTTTTGACCTCAGAGGAAGCAGAAGGAGCCTCTCCCCAAGTCAAGTGATGTGATGTCAGAAATCTGAATGACTGCAGCTTAAAGAGGAAATACAAGATTGAGCATTAAACAATGGAAAAAACCGCTCAGAAGCCCATTTGTTTCCTGAGAGCAGTGCTCATTCTATGCAACAGGAGGCAGAAGTAAGAGCTGTGCTTGTTTGTATTACAAATAATCTTTTGCAACCAAAATACCCTAAGAGAAAAATACACATTTAGTTGTAGAATTTTCTATCGATTCACTATTTTCAGAACTCTTCCTCAGGACCTTCTTGCCAGCTGTTAAACCATTTCTCTCTGGATGATGTGGAATATATTTACCAGGTTTTCCTGACACGCATCCAGGACATCATCAGGTTAAGAGCAAATTTCTATCCTTGTGTTACCAAGAGGGCTTTAGAGGGAGGATTAAAAAAAACATGAACGTATTTTAAAGATCTATGGTCGTTTTCCTTCACTTAAAACTCATCAATACCACTTTCTGCCAAGGCACTTACATGAGCTACAAAAACTTTCCGAACTCAGTGTATACACCTGCATCTGCAAGTGGCAGAGGCACTGCCAGACTGAGAAGGCATATGCAGTTCTTGGTATATTCATTTTCCTTGGGGAATTATTTGTACATGCAGCACTGCTCACATTGATCTGAATGATCTGCTTGCCCAAGAGGTGAGTCATTTCTTTCAAAAAAGGCTCTAATTAGACCATAGCCAGATAGCTATTAACATCTAAAAAGCCAGGAATTCAGAGGTCTCAAATTACCTACCCTATACAGTAAATATCAGCATTTCACAAGATGATTTAAGCATGTCTTCTGTGCCAGCACTCTGAAGTTATTATAATAGGACTTACATTTTTAAGTGTTCTTCTCTGCCAAGTGTTGTTAATGGTCTTGGAAACAAAATGAATTAGTGGCATTATTCTTGGAAATGCCAAATGCCTACTATTCTCAGTAAAGCAGCAGAGATGTTTGTGCCCAGTACCTCTCAAGAATCTATTGGATCTGTCTCAGTTTTCATTTTGCACGTAGCCTGAAAGTATATTTGTTTTTTCTTCTTTAAAATCAAGCTGCAATTTGTATTTCTGAAGTGGTCAATGCTGTCCCCCCCCAAAAAAAAAAAATCTATATTCTCTATGCATCCTCACTTCCATGACAAGTCAACTTTACGGAAGTAGGGCAAATGAAAGCAATTGCGTCTTTGGTTTCTAACCTAAGATGCCTCAGGCATGATGGGAAATTTCATTAATGCTCAGGTGCAACATGACATTAATCAGACAACAGAAATAAAACCGTCTCTGGCTATCCCCTAGGTTGTACCGATTCTAAAAGGCAGCGGGGAAGAAAAAGAGAGAACATGTCATTTAGATGTTAAAGCAGACCATAAGATCTCCAAGATCTGGCCAGGGTTTTATTTTTCTTTCCTTTATTAGAAATAACGTCAGAGCATATCGCTCTACCATGGCTGTTCATTGTTCTGGCTCATTGATATGCAAAATTCAGACCTCATCTAGAGAGCGCAACTATCCTCACATGCCAGGAGTCAGGCTATGCATGCTACCAATTTTAAAGTAGGTCCCTTTAAAGTAGACATTTTCTAAACTGATTAGCTACATCTTTGCATGGTGCCACAGGTAGCACTGTACACACAGCAGAAAGAGCACATATTTTATTCTTCCCTTACAGAAGGGTCCTATCTAATTGCAGAGGGATGGAACAATAGCATTTTATAGAATGTAATACAGAATAAGACCCCATTTATCCTGTGTTCAAGATAACCTTCTTGGTAGGACTTTTCCATGAGGGTTTGCTCATCAGGTCTTATTTTTAAAGAAACTGGGCCAAGTCATCCCTGCTGCAACTTGAATGACGTCAATGGAGTTACAGCAGGGACAAAATTGGGCCATTTTTTTTTTTTATGTCCATATGTTCCATATCCATTAAGAAAGAGATAAAGGGTAGAGGGGAAAAAGCTGTCATATCTAAAAAATGCATCCTGTAAAGATGTTATCTCTATATGTGGAATGTATTTACCTGTTACAGTTACTGCTGTGCTTCTATATATCTGGGGAAAAGTTTGACATTTGTAGCATTGAGCTACAATACAAGTTTAGCTCCAGAATATCAAATGACAGTTAGAGTTTCTATCTGGTTCTTATAAAGAAAAGCAGCAAGAAAATCTTAACCAGGAAAAGTTCTTTGGAAAACAGTAAGTGTCAAACCAAGCAAGTGATACAAAGACTTGCCAGTAACCATTAGCTGCTGTATAGCAGAAGAATATATCAATCACGCTCTGAATATCATCATCCAGTAATAAAGCCCACCGGGCCTTGTTCTGATCTCTTGTCTCCTACTAAATCCCAATGGGCCTGAACAGAAGCATCAAAACTAGCAACATGAAATGGCAGTTTACCAAAGCACTACTGGGTGAATGCCTAAAAGCCTCAAAGGCAGGCAAGGTTCTTTGGGTAGATGTAATATCTTTTATTAGACCAACTAAGTAGTTGGAAAAAAAGTTGTTTGTGAGCTTTTGGGCACAAATGACAAAGGGTGTTTGTGCCCAAAAGCTTGCCAAGAACTTTTTTCCAACTATTTAGTTGGTCTAATAAAAAATAATCACATCTACCCGAAGAGCCTTGCCTGCCTATGTCCTCAGACCAACACAGCTACAACCAACAACCCTAAAAGCCTCAAACACATGCAGGGGAAGGGAGGCACAGAAACAAGGCAGAGGGATAAAACTTAAATAATACTAAACAAAAACACACAATGTTTTTTAGAGCAGGATGAGCCATAGGATATGCCATATCTAATTGGAAAATGTTGGTCTGCAGTCCTAAAAAAAAAAATCAATATTCAAAAGCCTAACTGGCATCCACTTACATACAAATGCCCAGGACATTCCCACTGTACATAAGGGCCCAATACCATGTATAAGTGTTTGAAGAATTGTGTTTTTATGCTTTTTAATACAAATGCCCTAATGCTAGGAATATCACCAAGTAAGCAGGAACCGCAGATGCTAAGCACCTTTAAATATAACAGGTCACTTTTCTTTATGTATCTATGTCTGCAAATGTCAGTCCCATGTTCCTAAATTAAATTCTGGTCAGAAAGCAATGGGCTTATTTGTGATCGCCTTTTTTCCATTAAAGATTTTTCCCACAACAACCCAGTACAGTTGTTTTTCTTTTTTGTTTCTTTTTAATTCCCAGCCCCATCTCTCCTCTCCCCACATTGGAATCAACATAACTCGACTCGGACAATGTGCGACCTTCCCCAAGCCTCTATTTACAATGTCACAAACCACAAGGGAATAATCTATTCAAGTTTTCCAGCTGGAATGGGAACCGTAGTAAAGAATGTGCTTCCATTTTCACAGCCGTGATATTTTACACATCAAAAGAGGGAGGATGGAGAAGGCAGAAGAGGAAGGTCTCAGTCCTGCAACTGAGTCCACAAAAATACACCCTGACATGCAAGACCTCACCAAAATTCATGGAGTTCTTGCATGCGCCAATTAAAGCCTGTTACAATTTTCTAGGATCTGCTCTTAACTTGTTTTGGGTTTTTTTCCTCTCTATATGTATAATTAAAAAAATGCAGAAACCCATTTTCTGGTTCTTAAGCATTTAACTGTGACTAGTTCTGGAGTTATTTCACCCTCGACCCTCCAAACAAGCATGTGAAATGAACAGTGCAAACAAACAAGACCAAACCAAACTGCAGAACCTCAGCCAAACATTAACAAAGACAAGACAGACAAAAGCGCACACATGAACAAGGTTCACATCTATACAAAGCTACTAGCAACAGGAAACTGCTGTCAGTTGATGCTGTGGTTAGAACCACACCAGCCAGTGTTGTCAGGTTTTTTCCTCCCAGTTACACTGTGCATCCAAACAGTTCTTCGTGTGTAGTACTTCTACTGTGCCGATGACAAGGGAAATGAAACACACCCCCTTATTTCAACTAGAGATTTAAAAATGCCAGTCCATGCCAAGGTCAAACACTTGTAAAACAAGCTTATTGTACCTTCCTGCTTACCTCTGCCGGTGACAATGATCATGCCCAACTCAACTGGCCCATAATTGACTCCCCTCACTCTGAGCGATTCCCCACTCACCTCTCTCCCCCACTAGTGCCCTCTTTCACCTCACCCGTCAGTGTAACCAGGTAGCTGCCCTACCACAGCCTCTAAATCAGGGGTGGGCAAAATGCGGCCCGCAGGCCAGATGTGGCCCGCCAGGCCATTCCATCCGGCCCGCGGGACCCCTAAAAAATTTAGAAAATTAATATTGATCTGCCCCTGGCTGCCTGTCATGCGGCCTTCGAAGGCTTGCCAAAACTCAGTAAGCGGCCCTCCGCCCGAACTAATTGCCCACCCCTGCTCTAAACGCTTTGAAAATAGCAGCCATCTCCCGCTGCTACTTCTCCAGATGTGGTTCCACTCTCCGCCTGTATAAAGCGGGCTGTCGCCCAACTCCCTAAAGTGTTATCACCCTGATCTAGTACTCATTATATCACAAAATATTTCCTATGAAAGATGCTACATAAAAATAGATTGCATTGTATTGATCCGCTGAGCTGCCTTTAGACTACTTGTAAAGTGGCCGACAATTCTCACACCGCAGAATAGGGCTTTTGTTTAGTGCACGCCACTCAGAGTTGGATTCAGTCCTGGTTTACCCCACTGCAAAGTCCCAGCTCTATATGGAGACAACTTGCTTTGGGGTCAGCTGGGACCACCTACCCCCACTGGGGGCTGAGGCAGTGCACCTGAGAAGGTGGATGCTGCACACAGAAAGAAGGATTGCAGTTGGAGGAGCTAGCATTATTTACACTTCCTTTTCCAAAGTGGGGTCTGTGCATAGCATTCACCCAGGACAACTAGAAGCAACAGGGTGGGAAACAAAGGGACAGGTCTAGCTGCTGACACCACAGCCCCTGCTCACTCTCTCCCAGTAGCCTCTGCCCCCTAGCATGGGTGCTGCCCATCGCTGACTTCACACAGCTTCTGAGGACTGGGCCTGGAGGCACCACACCGCCTCCACACGCTAACAGGTGTTAGTGCCTCAGGCCCAGTTCCTGCAACCTCTGATGCAGCTACATACCCAGGTGCTGGTTTCTCTCTGTTGGGTGCTGAGCACCACATCTCCCAGGAGCAGCCCTTCTTACTCGCCCTGTCTGGCAGCCTGGGCATGCACAGATCTGGGACTACAGCAGCAGAAGCGCTACACAGGTGAAGCCCAGTGGGAAAACTCCCCAGCGCCTGCAGGCATTTTGCTTAGCTGTGGCCAGCACCGTTCAACCCTCTGTTTGTATGAACGCTATATTCACACACGTTTTAAAGCCTGTTTTCTCCCTTATGCACTTCACCTGCCGATCCATTAGATGCTGCATACTCCCCAGTGGTGTGTGCTGCACCATTTAGCTTGGCTGTGAGTAAAGGCAGCTTTTCTCACTCTCTGAGTAAGTGACTGGAACCATTTTGCACCTGTCTTAGAGAAAAACACTCAGCCCTCTTGGTATATTAATCCCCTCAGGCAAGGGAAAGGAATTAAACTAAGACCACAGGGCAAAATTAACTCTAAAGACAAGGAGAAACTGTACTCCCTGTTTCTTTTGCTCACCACAGGTTTAGAAAACAATGTTCCTTTGCCTTTTACAGGTCTGGAAAGGAGCAAAGGTGCAGGAATTAGTAAATAAGGAACTCCAAACCTAGAGGAGGTGGGAGCGAGGCTAACACAGCCTGCTCCTGTCCTTTCTCCAGCACAGCGGAGGTCCCACTGTGCCATCCACGCAACAGAGACTCAGGGATTCGCTCCTCAGGGCCTGGTGGCTAGGTAAAGGAACTCAGGAGGCAGTCTGGGCTCTGTATCCCTCCTCCCATGGATTCTCTAATAATACATTAGTAGAGGATACCAAATGGCTGCTGGTCTCCAGTGATTCCTGCCTGAGATGAAGAGAGACAAAAAAAAGGACCAGATTTTGCTTATGACAGTGCACATTCAGGGCATGGCTACAACATCAGTCATGCCAACTCTCATGACAAAATCATGGGACTCCAAGTCAGATTAACTCTGACTCATGATCTCCTGATACAGAGATCAAATCTCGGGATTTTTTCTTCTGGCATATGTAGAGAGCATCAAGCTGGTAAGTCTGTGGAGGGGAAGCGGCAGGGGGAGAGGAAAGGGGCAGGGGGTACAGATCAAGGTCCCCACGGTGAGGGAGGGAGTGGGGCAGGGACTGGGGTGAATGGGGCCCCAGGGCTGGGGCGAGTCATGCAACAGAGCAGTGGACAGCTGTCTGTCCATGCGTCTGTCTGTGCATCTGTCTTTCACTCCCAAGCCACAGCCCCCCAGCCCTGCTGCTGCCCCTCCCTCCTGACCCACAGTACCCTGCATCCTGCCAGGTTATGCAGGGAGCCCCCCCCTCCCTAGGCTCCGAACCCCACAACCCCCCACACCTTCACAAATAACCCCCTACCCACACATGCACACTTCCAAAATAGCATCTCATGGTCTGCATTTCAAATATCTTGATTGTTATGAGTTTGTCTCATGATTTTTGACACTGTGGGGTTGGAAATACTGCAACATGGTGGCAGTGTGTCCCAGCAGGGGTGCCCCCGAGCACCTCTGACGCCCCGGGTCCCGACTGCACACTCCAAACCTGGAAATCCCCAGCAGCTCCTCCCAAGCACACCAGCAAATACCCATCTAGGTATAAAAGCAACTTTGAGCCCTTAGCCTACGTTGTCACAACTAGAGATTTATTCACCTTTTTTTCCCTGTTTCTTGACGCTCTTGAACACTGAATTTAGTCCCTAACAACAGAGCATACCACAGAGGGCACAGTCGCTAGGGCTAAACACTGCAATAAAAGTTAGCCCTCGCAATCAAGGGAAGGCCAACGGAGATGCAAGTTCTGAGGGCGGTGAGAACAATAAAACTGAAATCAGAACACCACACCCAGGAAGAGTACGGCTGAGTCCACGTCTACTGCAGATCTCCTGCTCCTCTGCCGATTCCCTGGGCAGATTTAGCCCTGCACCGCGCATTTCAAAAACAAGCAGAAAGGCGGCTGAGTGACACCCAGCAAATACTCAATGGAAGTGTAGGAGGGACACTCCTTGAGGTTAAAGCAGAATGTAATTGCAAAGTATTATGCAATTATAAAAAGCACGTATTCTCTTCAGACCTCTAATTATTCAAACGGGGGGGGAAATCTAGGCATCTGACTACCTACCATTTATGCTGCTTACCTGGGGAATTATGCATTTCAGTCAGCTTGGAAAATTAAAATGAATCAGCATCTACTTCATTTGGATTTTATTTATTTTTTGTATCAGCACAGTGTTGCATTCAGGCTGCAAACTCTCATCTTTAAATCCAATCAAAACATATACAAATTCATTGATTTTCTGAAAGGAAAAAGAAAAATCATGGAGCACGCAGACTCTCTCTTTAAATGGATATTCCTAGTCTACATTTGGGGACTACCCAGCTTGTAGGATCTCTTTAAATCAATCCACTTTACAAACATCATTGTTCTGGGGTGGTGCCTAAACAGAAGCAAAAACAGGTTTCTTATCACGAGTGCTCTTTCAAATGAGAGGAATAGCGACTAGATACCCCCAAGTTCAGCCAACACAAGTCAGTCAAGCCCTGCGACCACCAAGTATGGAAAACGACTTCCTCTCAAAGACTTCCAAGCAGCCACACTTGACAGCCTCCATTTTACAGCCCTTCCTTTAAGCACCTGTTCAAGGGAAACGTGAGCAGAAGTTAAGCCCCTTGATTCCAAGTGATGAGACGGTGCCCTTCTGAGTCATTTCCATTCTCCGTGGTAACATTTGAATAACGCTTTTTGATAAAACAGCGATTCAGCTGAACTGCTAGTACATACCTTAGGTATGAAATCTCTCTCGATGCTTCTGAAAACAGGAGGGAGTCAAAGCAACATTGCTGAAATAGGACGTCAGTGTTGGTCCACATGTGTCAACAGCCTAGAGAAAATAAAACACACGTACACTTAACAGCTGTGCCCATGGGAAATCAACAGCCAAAGAGAAGCCGTGTTATTTCTACAGTTATGCCATGCTAATAGTTCCTGTGCAAACAACATAAAGCTGTAACACTTTATAATTGTACATCATAGTTTTTTTCTGCAGACGTCCCTCCGGTATGTTAGATATTCAATACATGATGGTAGGCGGCAATGAGCACCTCAGGGATTTAAAGTGCGTTCCAAGTCATGAGTCATCATCCTCTCCAACTCATGGAAATTTAAAAGAAAAAAAAAAATGTAATGCACTGACCACTCTCATGTGTTTTCTCTGCATAACATACCATAATCACAAGTCCCCATGCAAGCTTCCAGTGTAAGTCAGTGGACATTTAGCATGGATGTTGCTAAAAAAAATAATTATAAAATAAAACAAAACGCATTGCAGCATTCTTCTTGAGCACCCCTGAGACTGGTCAGGGCAGCCTGCTTTAGGAATAGAGAAACTGGGCCACATCAGTCTATCCATCGTAGACTTCCATCCACAAAGCAGGAATAAGAATGACCCCTTTCTTCTCTCCCAGCCTCAGACTGCAACTACTTGCCGCATCCTACCCTATAGTGCTGCCTTTGCCAAGAGTGCTGAGAGAGGTCCAGCAAGAGCTTAATAAAACAACTGCATCCTAAGGCACTCATGTGGCTTGGCTGACTAAAGCAAGCAGTCCATCTATTCCTTTTAAAGAGATTCCTTTGAGCAGGCCTGTCAACACTACCCTTAATGACTGTGGAGTATTTTTTTTATTCCAGCCCTAGCACTGTGGTTACTGGAACAGATCACACACTCGGCTTTTCAGAACCAGCTTCTTATTTTTTCCCCCCATTTCATGTTCATGCTCCTCCAGGTCCTTTCTTAATCTTGGCCTCATCTACAATTCTTTCTTCCAGGAAAATTCAATGCAAAAGCCTAACAAAAGCTCCCAAAAGTGGGAAGTCCAGCAGAGAGCACAGGAAAAAAACCCCTGCAACCTCCCTTTTCACAGACCAAACAGCCCCGCAGCTTCAGAGGTGTGTGAGGCTGAGAGGTATCACAGCCAGGTATGCTGAGGAAAGGAAATGCCTTGATTCAGCACAAAGTTTTACAGCCCCCTGTCCCAAATCAACTAAGATCCTATTAAAGTTACCAAGGGGCAATAAACACACCACCTCCTCTTTGGTCAGGGAGGGCACCCTGGGCCTTTCTGGCTCAAGGATATGCAGCCTGCAGCTGCACAAGTGAACTTATAAGGACTCAAGTCTCAAAGAGCAGTGTCTACATTTAGACTAGATAAATCCCTGTGTTACAGATTCACAGACATTTAGGGCTGGAAGAGACCTCCTTACGCTGCAGGAGAAAGGGTTGCTGGTAGCATGCATGCTTTGCCAGCACACACAGGCAGCAGGGACAGAGGAGGCCTCCCCTGAGAACTACTCTATGTCAAGCCCAGGCTAAGGCAGGTGATGGCTTGGGACGTGTGCTGCCATGAGAGCAAACTGCACGTGCTACAACATGTTTTGGACCGAAACCTGAATTGCAGGCTACGAGAAAGCACATCCAAGGCTGGGGCAGTCTTGCCAAGCACTACAGCACTCCGCCCCGGGGATCTGCGAAGCCCCAGAGGGACCTGGTTATATTGATCTGACCTTCTGGTGGGGAACAAGGCAATGATTTACACCTTGACAAAATAAATTTGAAGCTGCACTTTCAAAGCTGCTTCCACATTCTTGCCCCAGTCAGTGTCGCACTGGACAAGGAGCAAGCGTGAGGAATAGTTCAGGGCCATTAATCCCTGAAACTATGAAATTATTAATCCCTACCAACTATGAAACTATGAATCCCAGAGCCCTCATAGAGAGTGAATACACAGTTTAGAAATATATCTAGTCCACAAATGCTGATTAATCTGGCTGATTCACAGACGAGCAGGTCACAGTGAGCCCAAACGCCACTTCTGCTTTCCCGGGACAGGTGAAAGCCCTACACCAATGGGACAGAAAGTTATTTAGCTCAGACCAGAACCTTTTGTAATGCAATTGCGAGAAAACAGACATGTGGACGTAGAAACCAAGCTGCCAATCCCCAAAACATGGCCTAGTGGTCAGACCATCACAAGACCACAACCAAGGCAGTACTGAATGCTAATTCAGCTCCCGCTCTGGATTTCCTTGGTAGTCTCAAGCAAAGGTCACCTGAGCTCAGCACTGCGGTTTCCTCACTCGTAGAGGTAAGATGATCATGAGTCTTTGGTGTTACAACATTTGTTTAAACACTCTCAGGTACCTTGAAGAAAAGCACTATCATCTTTTGCCTTGGGACAGAAATTGGAGTTCAATTTCAAGTGCACAAAAAGATCATGTTAGAATAGTTTCTATTGGTTAATAAAACTACCAGTACTTAAATGTGCTGCATGCATAAAGTGCTGCATTTTTAACTGATTAGCGTTATCTTTAGTTTGTGAATTGACTGATTGTTTCCAGTCAAAATAGGCCAGATTTCAATTAGACTTAGATATATCTGAAAATCCCAGTTGGTATCTAAATATATGTGAAATACTGACCCCAGCTCCTTTAAGGTTGGGTTTTTTTAAGGGAATTAGGAAATCTCATGCTCTCCTACTTGCCTTTTTTCCATAGACTGTAAAACAGTAGGGCATTATGCTTTCCAATTTCCAGTTTTTCAATTCAGAATCCGAATGAATAAAGAAAAGATCACATACAAACATTTTCTTTGCATCTGACCTAAACTGAAACCAAAAGTAATTAAGCCAAAGGTTTTCTGAGCAAAGAAACTGAAAGTCCTGACATTTGGAAAAATGTAAACATGAGTATTTGCTTCACTGTAAAGACTGAAAATAAAAGATGCTTAATGAGTACATGACATTGTAACAGAATTATAAAGCTTGGGCTGACATCAGAAGTCAGATGTTTTCCCCAGTTCTCCATCTGACTAAAAAAGCAGTGCCATTTAATTCACCAAAACAAGCTCACTGAAGCAACTTCTCTTTTATGTAGATTATGCTTGTAATTTGAGTTTAGGTTTTACCAGATTTTTTAAAGTAAAGTTGACATTGACAGGGGGAAAAAATTGAATAAATCCACTTTAAATTATAAACCGTTATGCACAGTATATCCACCCTGTAGACCTTAGAAAACACATACCCAGATGGTATCTTTTAAATATCCAGGCCTACAACCACTGGTCTTAATAGAGTTACACCATCTGCAAATGTCTGGGGGAAAAAAAGCCCAAAAAAAGAAGCACAACACACACCCACCAAAAATGCTAAAAGAAGAAAACTCCCACACACAGTAAAAATGCTAAAAGAAGAAAGCTCCCAACAGGGCATGAGAGGTTTATTTTTCCCATCCAAAATATTTACAGAGTCCAGCGACTGCCTTTCAGGATCAAGTTCTTCATCAGTGAACTTTACTCTCAAGGACGGCTACCAGAACTGGGATTGCTCTGTACCTTCCCGGGCGGAGCCCTTTGGCAGCCCCATACATTTAAAATAGGTTTGGAAGCATCAGGAAACCGAGTCACGTGAGACGGATCAAAGCAGACTGGAGCTATTAGTAGACAAATTCATATGTAAATACATTTTGCAATAAGGATGAGGTGCCACCCGGCAGGTGGCGAGTGGCTCATTTTTAGCACAAACGCTGAAAACACCGCAGTACGCTAATAGACCTGGCATTTATCTTTCCACGGAGGCAGATTAATTATAACATTCTTTCTTGCTGGCTTCTGAAGACCTGTCTGCTTAACCGATGTGTTGTGCTTCAGTTGTCACAACTGTCACCACAGAAGTACTTTTTATTGGAGGGATGTTGGTGTCCCCATACCAAACCTAGAGCAGACATGGCCAAAAACAACCACAACCCAACACTTCAAGACCCCAATTAAGAGCAAGGCCCTACACAAGACAGGGACAGCCCCTGGCCCAAGTAGCTTGTAATCTTCATGCCCAAGACAAATCAAAAGGTGGTATGGGAAAGAGATGCAAAGGTGAAGTACGTCCAACATCAAGCAGCAGATCAGTGGCAAAGCTAGGAGGAAAAATCAAGGTCTCCCAGTTCACATTCGAGTCCCACTCACCAGGCAACACTACTAACAAGTTCACTCCTTAGTGAATCTGGCTTTATCTTGCTTGAAGTGATGCACCATAAATTCCAGTCCTCCCTTCTGCATTTAGCAGTCCCTAGGGTTTCTCTGGAGAAATCTTTGTCCCAGACCCTGCTTCCCTCCTCACTGGGAGCATTTGCAGCTCTGCTACAGCCCAGTGGAGTGAACAAACCACCCCTGCCACAATGAATCAGCAGCTCTAAGTTATGTGCTAGTATTTGATAATGAGGCAGGTCAACTAAAAAGCCTTGGTTTGGTTCTGTGAACTCACAAGAGTGGACACATCCTTTTGCAATGGGTAACTGAAAGCACTGCAGCTCTTATAGACTGCACACAATGAACAGCCTGGGCTCTAGCAATAAATGCTCTGTCATTCCCACTGATGCCTACAGTTTACAAGTACTGAGCATGTCCCGTTTGCAAGCACCGTTCTTCCCGCGTGGGGCATTCAAACCACACAGGGCATTCCTCTCATCTTATCAGCCTCTCCACTGGCCCTTCTGGGGCAACATCAGACTGTAAGTAGTCAAACTCTTGCCAAAAAAAAAGGAATAAATAAATCCAAAAGCAAGGAGCTCTGAATATTTGGTATTCTGGACAGCAGAACTCACCAGCAAAAAGAAAAGAGGGGGGGGTTTCACAAACTAAATGTAGCAAGTAACACAGGCGCACAGAAAGGGACTTAGTCAGCCCTCAATGTCCCTAATGCCACTGCTTCCTGCCACTACTTCGGTCACAGCTTTAAAAACCAGGTGTGGGGACCCCTTGGGTTGGCTGGACAGTAAGCTGACCCCTCCAGAAGCTGCCTAAAGCAGAAAAGGGAAGTGAAAGGGAGAAGTGCC